TGCATCTACACTAGCTTTTCCTTTTGGCTTGTTTGTTTTTATCGACTTGAATTGTGCAAGATTCTAGCATGAATTGTTGGATGCCTTATCTCTAAAAAGTTAATTATAATTCACCATAAGTAAAAGTTATAGGCTACTTTAAAAAAAACATTACATTTCATTTCATTTTTTACCATTTTTGATGGAAAGTTTGCATCCAAGAAGACGATAATTGTAATGTTATTAGCATCAAAATTTTTTGTTCCAGTTCAGATTTAATAATATTAGACAATGATAAAAGTAAAAAATTAAATTAAATTAAATTAAAATCTCATCTATTATTCTATCCAATAGTGATTAATAATTAAGAAAGAATCCTTAAATATATTATTCTTTACAATTAACGATATCAATCAATTTTACCAGAATACATTACCATCAAAAGCTAATTAATTTCTATAAAAGTCTAAAAATGTGAAACTTTTTTAAAGAATGACTTGAATCGCTTTCATGGAATTTAAAGCTAATTTCATGATTATAATGCTTTGAAATGAATGCTACATAAATGAACAAATCCAAATCAAATCCCTTGATTTATGTCACCATTAACGTAGAAGTAAGACTACTACTCTTTTGATTATTGGACTCCAAAATGAAATAAAAATTGAAAATTTATTATACGGGGTAAATCAATAACACTTTTTCCTTTTTTCCTTCACTTAATATAGTGAAATAAATGAATAAAATAATCAAATGGACAATGCTAAAAATCTCGATGTATTACGTCAACTATAAAAGAAACTCACATTAATCTCTTTTACATAAAAAGAAGACGAGAATTTTTAAGTTTGAATTCAAATGAAAACTTGAAAAGATGGCTTTTAGAAAAAGAAGTAATTTCAGAGAGAAGTAAAACATTAGAAAAATTTGTCTTATTTTAATTAATGCTTGAACAACCAAGTATAAATCATTACTCATATAATCAAGAAAAAAATGAAAATACAACATAACATGAAAAATAGAGGAGAAAAATCAAAATCTTTCGCTGCTAAATTTTATTGATCCCCACAAAAAATCTAATTTCTTTACCATATATGATTTTTTCTTCTAAAATATTCCTTTTTTTGTGGTCTGTAGAACTTTTGGTTAATGTAAATACCTTTTACATTCTCACCAAACTCCAGGCCCGACCTCCACCACTCACCACCGCTCCCCACGCCCGGCCCCACCTACAATACTCGTTTCTGATTTCCCTTTTCTTCTTCAATTCTGAAAATTGTAGACAATCAGTGCGTGAAAAATCTGTTTCTTGTAGAAAAGGGAAATTCCAACTGCATTTACACTTCAAACCCTAATCTTTTACAGTCCAATTTGCAGTAAGAAAATAGTATCAGTGAATTTCAATGACCCAGTTGAAGCCCATATTGTCTCATTTAGACCCGATCATCCCTTCATCCACTGGGAAATTCAAGCCCGATAAGTTTTCAGCGTATAGTTTTCACCGCCTGCGCTGCCACCCCAGGCTTGCTTTTTGGTCTTTCCTTTCTGTTATTTTCATCCTGCTTTTCTTCTGTTTCTCCCCTCCGGATGGCGGCGCCGCCGCCAAACGCCGTAGCCTTCATACCAGCAGTTATACGAGGCGGATGCACTTGGACTCGAACTGGGAACTGAAGGCCCGGAACTCGGCCCGACCACGATCCAAGACGGGCTTTTCGGTACTTGTTACTGGTGCTGCTGGGTTTGTTGGAACCCATGTCTCTCTTTCGCTCAAGCGTCGTGGAGATGGCGTTGTTGGGCTTGATAATTTCAACAGTTACTATGACCCTGGGCTGAAAAAGGCCCGTAAATCCCTCCTGGATCGTGCCGGCGTGTATGTGATTGAGGCTGATATAAACGACGCAGTTTTGCTTAGGAAGCTCTTCGAGACTGTGCATTTTACTCATGTGATGCATTTAGCAGCCCAGGCCGGAGTACGGTATGCAATGCAGAACCCAAATTCTTACATTCACAGTAATGTTAATGGTTTTGTTAGCTTACTTGAAGCATGTAAAAATGCAACCTTACAACCTAGTATAGTATGGGCATCGAGCAGCTCTGTTTACGGGCTTAATTCTAAGGTTCCCTTTTCAGAAAAAGATAGAACAGACCGGCCTGCTAGTTTATATGCAGCCACTAAAAAGGCTGGTGAAGAAATAGCACATACGTATAATCATATTTACGGACTTTCAATTACCGGGCTGCGGTTTTTCACAGTTTATGGGCCGTGGGGAAGGCCAGATATGGCTTACTTTTTCTTTACCAAGGATATATTAAAAGGGAAAGAGATTAAGATATTTGAAGGGGCTGATCATGCAACTGTGGCGCGTGATTTTACCTACGTAGATGATGTTGTGAAGGGTTGTTTAGCAGCATTGGATACCGCGAAGAAGAGTACTGGGAACGGTGGGAAGAAGAAAGGTGCGGCGCAGTTTAGGATATATAATTTGGGGAACACAAATCCTGTGCCAGTGGCAGATCTCGTGGCTATCTTGGAGAAGTTGTTGAAGGTGAAGGCGAAGAAAAAGTTGTTGGCAATGCCGAGGAATGGGGACGTTTTGTTCACACATGCAAACATAAGTTTGGCAAGAAAGGAGCTTGGGTACAAACCAACAACTGACTTGGAAACGGGTTTGAAAAAGTTTGTGAAATGGTATCTCCGTTACTATGGTTCAAAGAAAAAGAGTGCCTGGTGAATTTGGGAAAAAAAATGAAAAAATATATATATCCTACTTCATTTTCGGTGGTCTATTTGCTTACGTTGTGAATAAATGCCAATTTGAGTATTCGTTCCCTTCTGTATCTTTTGGAATTGGGAGAGTGGTTTGGCCATGCATTTTGCTAGGCACTCTTTGATGTTTATGGACAGAGTCTTTTCATTTATTTTCCACATTATTGTTGAGCTATTCTATCTGTAGGTAGACATTTTACTTTAATGTTTTTAAAGGACGTGCTCATTTGGTTAGCTTCGCTATATTTATTCTGGTTTAATAAAAGAGTATGCATGTTACTTCATCCATAATATTTGAAGTCGAGTAGCTCATTTTTTCTCCTTAATTAAACTGATGTTTAAATTTTTTTCGAACTTTTTACTTTAGTGTTTCATATGTACTATTATGGGTATAATTTTGTCAATTTTTTGAATGTTTTGTGGTATGTAACTGCCCGAGTTTTGTATTTATTCCTCTCTGTTTCTGCCTATATAGAAGGACTGGTGTTCTTTTTTCTTATTGGCACCTCAATTCCTATATATCTCTTTATTTTTATGCATTTCGTGGTTTACTTATTGTTCATCTTTTCTGATATGTGGCGAACTTTTAAAGGTTAATTATATCTGTTTGTTTCTTAAAACATACTAGAACACCTGCTTAACATTGTTGTGCAATGGCATATGCCATGAACAACTGGCGTCTTGGATATCACTATGTAGTCTTCTTGTTTTGAATATATGACGTCTAAAAATTTCTGAAGTACAGTTACTTAAGAATGTTTCTGTTTTATTATCTTATATGCAGTTTCATTATATAAGTCGCCATGAAAAGAAATTGTCTCGATATTTCACTAATATAGCAGATAAAATGATCCCTCATGTTATTTATATTGATAGGCTTTGCATATGATGAAAAGGGCTACTTTTTAGCGTTCAGAATGAAACTTAGCCCCAATTTTGTTTTGCTAAAAATCCGAGTTTTAGTAGATTTTGATAAAAATTGATGAAATGTCTGCTTGAAAATTTGTTAAAAGTTTTGGGTCCCATCATGTGATTAAAATTATTTGTTGACTTTGACTTATATTTTTATTAATTTTTTTAGCTAAACATGAGCTTATTTCTTGTTTGTGTTTAAACAAATTTATAAATTACAATCTCTGATCGCGAAAAAGTGCTTTTTTCTTCACTTGCTTTTAAGGGTTCCAGAGCCGTGGTATTGATTATTGAATGCTTAGTGGTGGCCGTGTTTACAGATTTGATATTTCCATTTGAGAATCTATGCATCGATATTTTACACAGAATGTTACATTCGACTATTTATGCATACTCCGCCCCGAATCGAACCCATTTTCTATTACTTGATCTGAACTTGAATGCGAATTGTAGATTGATGATGAAATTTCATATTGAGTTGTTGGATTGGATATCGAGGCTTGTAGTTGTTGGTTATGTTGGCATGTATTCAGATTTTATATATCTTGGCTATTATTATAATAATCTTCTCGTTCGTATTCTCCTACGTTAGTTAAAGCTTTTCTTAAGATCTTGATGATGTTTTTATCCTTTTTGTTCTCTTTCTTGAAGTATTAGTATATGCCATTCTTACCAATGTTGCAAACATTTTGGCTGGTTAGAAAAGTCTTGTTGTCGGCTCTGTTCATTCGGGTTCATCGTACCAAACGAGTTAAAATCTGGTCCTTTTGGTTGTTCCTCACTAGAATTTTGACATATCACTACATTGAATATTGTTAGCAAATAGCAAGATGGTAATAATTATTAATTACATTTTGGCGCTGATTGAGTCACTTTTTTTTTTCCCCAAAAAAAATATATTTTTAAATAGTAATTTGACATAATTTCAATTACATTTTTCAATAAAATTATATTACACGTAAATTTATTTTTTTAAAAAAATTTTTGAACTACACATTCTTCATCAATTTAGCATTTTTAAATACATGATTTTCAAAATAACGCGGCTCAAACACACTATACAAGTGTGATATTCTATGAAATATCTTGTTATTTGTTAATATTACTAGTTTATTGCCCGTGCAATGCACGGGCTATGGTATTTTCTAGGTAATGTTAGCATCGAATATTAACGGGAAGTTAAATTATTCTTAAAGTTTATTAAACTTTCCCATAAATCTTATAGAAATTGGCATAATGATTAGTGAAATTGTATAAGGATAATATTCAATTAAGATTAACATGAAAGAAAACACGTGATTTTATTTAAACATAGTGAACATGCTACAATGAAATGCCAAGCGATAGTTTCAGGTGCACCTGAAGACTAATCTTAATATGAATTTTGCATTGAAATGACTGTAGCTGCCTCAGCATAGGTATTATATTTCTCAAAACTGAATCTCTCATGAAGCTGAATCCGAACCTCCTCAATTGCCCCAATTCTGGCGAAAATTTGAAGGGAAGAAGGAGAGAGATTCTGTCTTGCGGTTTGTGGAAACATTTCACCTTATTGAATTATTTATTGTTCAAGGCACAAATTCAATATTAATAAGGACGAGAAAATGATGAAATAACAGAGCACTTGGAAGTATCAAACCCAAATTATTTACGGTACCAGTACTGTGAAAGACTTTAATAAACAAATTAAGAAAAAATTAATTTACCGCCCATCTTGTAGTACATGGCCCAATACACAGTTTGTATCCACAAGTCTGCTACAAGGATTACTAACATTAAATACATGCAAAAAAAATGTTTAAATAATATCGATGATCACTTCGAAGAATTTCAATCAAAACAGCATCGCTATTTCAGTAAACATAAACCACAATGTATCCCAAAAAATTCATATAAACGCGTCTGCAGGGATAGTTGTGTATCATCAGACCTGATAATAAATGGGAGCATTGAGTGCCAAACAAATACTTCAGCACCACAATTCATTAAATATCATTTATTATTTTTCAGAAGTGACATGGAAAGTTCGCTATGTACAATTTAGACTTTGCCATCACTAATGCTAATAAAAATGAAAGACAGTCACTAAGATTAGTCACTAAGATGTGTGTGAATTAAGAATATAATTTAAAAATAAGAAAATGCATGTAAAACGCACGCCAGTCAAACTATTGGCTCAAAAGCAAACAGCTTCAAGTCTCTTATTTTAATGTACTTTTGTGAATTCTATATAACCGAATGGCGTGTGATTGAAAAATTCATTTTCACTAAAAATGATTATTCCAATATTATTTTGTAAGCCTGATTGATAGGGCAAAGTAAACAAAGCAGAACAACTTCATCATGTTGATTCAATTTAGTAAACCATTAGTGATTAGCATAAACTCGGTAACATTTGCAATATGAACAATAGCCCTATCGTAAAAGAAAATGATAAAATTAAACCAGGAAGAATAATTACCAATAAAATTTTGTTGGAGTGTTTTCACGAATAATATCATCTTCTGTAGCAATTTTTTTGCCAATTGGAGCAAACCCATCAAATAAGACCCAGAGTTTACCAGAATCTGACTCAGTTTGTAATTTTTCATCATCTAAAGTGGGGAACAATATTTATAGATATTAAAATAAATATAGAAGTAGCATCTATAAAAAGACAACTGCATAAAAGAAAACAGAGTTACAGCCATAGCAATTAAAAGAGTTCTTACTTACAATTGCAACATCACACATTCCTTCATGACGTTTTTCTTACAAAAAATGAATTACTTCTAATGCGTTGGCCCTTTCGTGAATATTGGAGTTTGCACCGTTGAACTGATATATCTTGTTTTTAGTGTCTAGAATAATAAATCATCATGTCCAGAACAAAATGTGATTGCGATACTTTGAAATCTCTCGTGTTAAGTAGTGTCTCATATTTGCCACTGAAGAACCTACATTTATTCCAATGTATAGATATATTTAAAATAAATAATTTTGAAACTATGAATACAAGATTATAGATTGAATTTTGATAAACGAATCTTACTGTATTTTAATAATTTTACTGAATTTTCATAATTTGTTATGATTAGGACAAACATGGACGTAAAAAATATTCATTGTGACAGATATCCGTGACAATCTTTCGTCTGTATAAACGTATCTTCTCTGGTGAAACTACTTCTAATGGATATCCGAAAACGAAGCATTCAATGTATTTGAGAAGGAAAACTCCAGAATTTGGCCTATAGAAAAAATAATTTGAAGTTAGTTTATGGTAATGTTGTAAATGTAAAATAAAATTAAATAGAAAATTAAATGTTACAGTAAATTGTTGAGTTATTTACTCATTATTTTGACAAGGTAGATGCGGTATGATTTTCAATTTCATATGTTTATTTCTATGTTTTCTTAAAGTGGGTTTGCCGAAGAAAATGTCTGTAGATACCAATAATGATTGTACTACAGTCAAAACTTGTTCTGAAAGTAATTTAATTGCATCCGGTGTATGAATGTTGTGGCTGTAATTATATATATGAAATTTTCACTTTTGAAAGTCGACAAGAAAAAGAAACCAAGTGTTGCCTGGATATGCGGATGGAATCAATAAATAGTTGTATGTTATCCACGGACGAGCAAATACAGGTAATTCTCCTTTTATGTATTGTTGTAATGCATTGAAATTACTTGTACACTGGGCAGCTCCTCCTTTTATAATTGTATACCAAGAACACATTCATTCTCGAATCTAAGGTCCATGATTACATATTCTTTAGAAAGCATGGGAGATCCATCGTGAATAAACCTTTTCAACAGCTTTAATTCTATATCAATATGCTAGTAAAAAAAATGTAAATTAGGGTGCTGTCTGGTAAAGATTTTCATTCCAATTAAAAGTAAATTTTCTACCGTTGCCACAGTCTTCAGTCGTCTTTTTTGACTGGAGCTCTCACGCGTGGGACTCGCCTACCACACTCAACGATCAGTTTCTTGCTTTTCAACGATCAAATTCTTGCTACTAATCTCCTCCAGACAAGCCCTAGATATATTAATAATGGACTAAAATTAATTATGATTACTAAAGTTGACTTACCACAATATTTATATTTTTCGTTTGATTTATCATATTTATCAGCGACTGTCTTCCGTATAGATTGTCGATTTCATCTTTTTAGTATACGCTATATAAGAAAAAGTTAAATTGTCGTCAAATAAGTAAAATACAAATTATAATATTTAAGTTAACGAGGTTAAATTTAATATCTTACTCTGATGGATTTTGTGATATCCATTCACTAATGTTTTTGTATCTGTAGATGTTATAGTCTTCTAAAGCATTAGTTGGCGTTGTCGATGGAGATTGTGTCTATTTTTTCTTACCTTTTTTTTC